AATTACAAAAAAGAATTGTAATTTTAATTTTGTTTCTTATCCCTGGCATTCCTAAAATCGACTTCTTCGTCTTCCCCCACCGAATTCTTCAAAAATTAACCAAATGAAAGCTTTTCCAAAAAAAATTAACCGTTTTTCTTCAAAATTGAGAAAAGTCCTTCTTCTGCATAATAATTCTTCTGCATATAATATATTCTGCATAATTATTATGCAGAAGAAGGACTTTTCCCAATTTTGAAGATAAATGGTTAATTCTTTTTGGAAATGCTTTCATTTGACTAAAGAATGAAATATCAGATGGGGGAAGACAAAAAAGTTGATTTTAACAATGCCAGGGATGGGAAACAAAATTAAAATTATGATTTTTTTTGTAACTTTTTAAATATTGAAAATTTGAAAAAATGTTGTACATAAAAGTTGTAGATCTCATTAGATTACGTTTTTTGTTTCTATGAATGTTACGTTCCGAGCAAGAGCGAGGCTTTTAAATAAAATTAAATAATTTATTTAAAATAGATTTTAAAACCAGTTAGCTGATTAATCAGGTTGGTAAAGCCTGATCTTTATTTTTATTGTAGGATCGTGATCACTTGTCAAAACTATGGGCTTTGCGTTAATAACAAGATAAATATTCCTTTTATTTAATTTATTGTTTATAGTAAGAAGAAAGTTACAATTGTTACAAATTGTTACTTACGTTTAATTACAGATTCGTTGACAAAATTATCGCAGGGTTGTTATAATTGGTTTTCTTGGTTTAAACTCGTTTCAATTGAATGAAACTGAAAGTTTGTTTTATTACACTTGTGTAATATTCACAACTTTATAACAGTTTTTGTGCTAAAATAACAGTTTCACGTTTTCTAAGTGTTAAATTATTTATCTTGCACCTTTTTAGGGGAAAGAAACTTGTTTCTAAGTGACAAATAATTATAACTTGCACCTTTATGGAAAGAATTAGTGAAATTTATACTATTAATTATTAATCACAAATACGACAGTTAAAATAGCAAAATTATCAACTCTAAGTGTTAAATTATTTGTCTTGCACCTTTTGAGGGGAAAGAAACTTGTTTCTAAGTGATAAATAATCTAACTTGCACCTTTTTACGGGAAAGAATACAATAATTCGCGTTTTAACCGAAGGGTCGCTCTACAATGATACTGTCCGCACTGAACTACACCGGAACTTTTGACAATCGTTCTGCTTTTTACAGCAGCTTATATAGTTTCTAATCTAATGCATTTTGGGGATGTTAAGTGGTGGAAACATTTTGTTTTAGGTGTTTTGACCACATATCGTTTTAGACACGTATCACATGCTCTGTTTCAGACACGTACAACATGCACTGTTTTAGGCACGTACGATGTAATATGATCTTTTTCTATTTCATTCTAGTTATCATCTATTAATTTAAACTTATAATTTTTTATTCGGTTCATTTCCATTAATTCAGACATTGATAAGCGTTTTTGAATTCAATAATCGAATCGACAATCGATTATCGATTTATTTTCGATTTGATACATTTAAATGGATTCATATTAATATTTTGACAATAAATAATAATTATTGATTGAATGCCATATGGATCGATCAAATAATTAAATAATTCTTATTAATATTAAATGATTTTATAAATTAGAAGAATATATGTTTTCCTATCATCTTTTAAACATGTGTCATCTCTTTCATTCATAGCTTGACACTTGTCGTAAAGACAGAGTTCGTTGATTCATCTTACTATTTCATTCACGTGAGTAATAACACGTTTTAATGAATCATGTGAATGAAATATTATAGTATTTCATTATGATTTATATTTTATGCTTTTAATTTAGGATTCGTAAAAGAAGATGTAATATTTTGAACTATGTCCTTAGACATTGTTTGAATATTACATTTATGAAATGTAATTAATTGATTATTTAACTATATTACTAAATTTACGAAATTTATAAAATTTTGAAATATGTCGGGATGTAACAGTCCTCCCTCCTTAAATTGTTCATCGTCCTCGATAAACTTGTAATTTTTACATATAAATTTTCGTAAATTTTTACAATTATCTTTTTAATTTAGAGAATGTAATGTTGCTGACAAGGGAATTTTAAAGTGTGAAGTGTTATGTTTAAATGTTAAAGTTTACATTATGTGTAGTACGTGTTCAAAACTGGATATGGCGATGAAGAAGGTAAGTTGTTTTCAAAATATGGTTTCTCTTGTATTCCTCGGTCCAGCTGAGTTGAACAAAATCGTGAGAATCTTCATGATCATCAAATTTTTGAATGATGATATCAGGATCTGTTGTCCCTACTTATGCTGTACAAGTCCTTTGTAATTAGTTCTTCATTAGCTATGAGTGACAGTGGGTCGGTTAGTGACGCTTCTACTGTTAACTTGGTTGATTTTTGTATTCGAAAAATGAGACCAGTTCCTCTTTTGTTGAGTCGAGATGTTCCTCATGGTAATAATGTGTTTTGATTAGTTTTCCTTTTGTTGTCAATTGTGTTTTTTTTTGTTTTCTTTTTTTTTTAATATGAGTGATTCTGTTGACGAAATTGACAGTAATGTGTCAGATTACGTGGACTTATTTGATCTTGACGTCCTTGGGCCATTGGAAAATGTTGATAACATCCGAGCAACTGTGATGCCACAAGTGGAAAATGTGACAGTTAGAGGAATTGATCCTGTGCCTTCGACTTCGAGATCAGAAGAACACTGGCATGCAGCGAATATTCCACTAGATATTCCAATAATTCCACAGTTGGATCGTTTATTGACTGCTAACGTATCCAGTCAAAGGCTTTCAGGATTACGCATGGTGGAATTGGAAGAACGTATGGGCATTTTCCAATTTGCTATATGGAAAATGCCTGTCGAGGGAGCAGCTGAAACAGTGCGTCGTTTAATTAGTGATGTCACAGTGTCACGTCCCGAGCTAAGGCGAGGGTAGTTTTATCAAGTGTTTAATAAAAGGGAGGTATTTCGCTGATTTGTCAAGTTGGTAAGTCTTGACATTTATTTTTAAGTGTGGATTCGTTAGACTTTAAAGAAACTACGGGTTTCCGTTAAATAAATTATATGCTTATTCCTTTTTATGTAATTATTTATTAATAATCATTAATAATTAAACAATTACTATTACTTACAATTTTGAAGTTGGTGTGGAAAATTACAGTAATGAAGCGGCAACCAGTTATGCGTTGTTGCGTTACAGGTTACAAGATATTATGAGCTTTTCAGTTCGTTTCTTTTTAAACACAAAAGAACAACTATTTAAACAATTATTTAACAACTCTAAGTGTTCTTTCACACACTGTACCTTGATACAAAAGAAAACTTATTTTCTTAGTGTTTGGAAAGAACTTGCACTAACTTTTTACAATTAGAAAGAGAATATTAAATTGAATTGTTATGCGACGAAAGTGTTATTGGTATTTCAATTAGTGCGATTTATTCCCTTACTAAAAGAACAAGTCTTCTTTAACACTAAATTTACTACTCAATTTCACGATCGAAGGGCCGACTCAACGATACCGTTCGGGCAGAAGCACACCGGAGTATTTGACAATTGCTCTAGGAAAGCTAGGGGTTTATATAGTAGCTTAAAGTCTACTTGCTTGGGGATGAGACGGTCAAAAGGCACGTATCCGTGCTAAAATGTAGAAGTCACGTATCTGTGCTAAAATGTAGAAAGCACGTACGAGTAAGATCATTTTACCTAAACATTATTCGTTCGATCAAAGATGAGTAATATGATACTCTCTTTTACAATAATTTTTATACATTAGTCATTATGCATTCATTCTTATGTTTTTCAAATCTAATTCTCTAGTGTCTGGATTACGAACTTTCATACGTTCGCATCCTTTGCGCCGCTTATGATAAGCGAACGGCAACCGATTAATTACCATAAGTGTAGGTAACGAACCGACCGCCGACCACTTATCACGTCTCTCTAGATCACGGTCGATTATGAATCCAATTGCCTTAGATGGTAACTCATATGCCAATGATAATAATAATAGCAATAATAATGAAATAATATAATAATAATAATAATAATAATTGAATATTTAAAAATTATTATAGAATTATTTATCTTATTTTACTACTAATTTTAAATTAAAAATTTTAAAAATTAGGTTATATCTAGGGATGTAACAGTCCTCCCTCCTTAGACTATTTATCGTCCCGATAAATTTGTAAATTTAATGAATTTGTAATGAATTAATTTTTAACAACCAATTTTGAAATATTTTGTTCTTACAGAATATAATGACGAAATTGTGCTTGTTTCAATGTGATATGTTATGGAATGAGTGAGACTGTATTTGTAGTGTTTTGTCTAGTGATGTGATATGTAACGTTTATCCGATTTTCTGAGGTAAGTAGTTTTCTTGTATCTTTTGGAATCTAGTCGTCCTTCTTGATATATGACTGATAGTAATTTTTTTTTTTTTTTTTTTTTTTTTTTTTTTTTTTTTTTTTTTTTTTTTTTTTTTTTTGACTATTGTCATCAGTTTCTGGTCACGTAGTCATAATGTTGAACTCCAAGATGCATTGTAAGGGAGTGACAACGATCAGTTATTCTTCGGCATTTGTCATGGAGAACGAAAGCTCTTCTTCTAGTGATACTGTCTCGTATGAAGAACATAAGAGGGAAGTTTCTTCGATTAATGTTGACATGGAACCTCAGTCTACTGGTGAGTGTTGAATTATCAATTTGTTTTCCGCGTTGTTTTCATTATTTATATATAATATTCATTTCATTTGTTGTCTCTGTTTTAAATGGAATGTGACAGTGAATTTTCTAATATTCTTCTTCATTCTTTAGAAAATGAGGAAAATTTAATATCGCAAAATGAGACAGAATTTTGTCAGTCGATTGAAAATTTTGATATTTCTCTTTTTGATGAGGATAATAATAGTAACTTAGAATTGAATTCTCATTCATTGACTAAATTAGAGAGCTTGACATGTAGATTGCGGCGTGTTGAAGAACAGTTAGGAATATTCTATATTGCCTTTTGGAAGGTGAAAATGAACAAGGCAATAGACCTAATTACCAAATTGTGTAAAAGCAAACTCAATTTAGAAGTATCAGAGAAGGATTTTAAAGTTGTTCAACCATTAGATATTAGACGGGCGGGTGTTCTATTATCTTTGTCTAATTTATTCCTGCGAAACAAGATATTGAATAATAGTGACTTATTTCTATTGGAAGGTCTTCATGTTGCTTCAGAGTAATGTTCTCGTATAATTTTAATTAAACTTGATTAATTGCTCATTAATGATTCTCTTTTTTTTTTTTTTTATTTTCAGGTGATGGTAATTCAGTGCTTTCCTGTGAGATTAATCAATTTTTGCATAAAATTAATGCCTTGTCTGTATCGTTGTTACACAATATTCACATAATGGATAACATCGAACATTTGGGATTGACGGACGAAAAACGAAAAAGGGGTCGTCCGAGTAAGGCAGCCAATGAGAGATTTCACAGATTAAAATTGATTCGTCAATCTCAACTGGATCAGGCCAAAAGAGGAAGCTTGGAGGAAGCTAGCGAGTTAAACCGAAGTATTAGTAGCTTTATGTGGAATTTTCCGAATCTTATTGATTCGTTGGCTTCATCATCTGGTTCATCAAGGTAAACCTTTTTTTTTTTTTTTTTTTTTTTTTTTGATAATTTATTTTTTAAGTCATTTGTATTTATTGCATTGTAATATAATTTTGTTATTTTCAGAACTGGCGATTCGGAGTTTAAAATTTGTTCCTGTGGTCGAATTTATCCTCCAACTTACTTATATAGTCATTGCTTCTGTGGAGAATTCTTTTCCCGTTGAATAAAAGAAGATCATTGATTACAATTGTAACATGTTGTGTAGGTGTTTATGTGATGTGTATTATTTTATGTCAATTATTATCATGAATCACACAATTTACGTCAAAATTTTTGTTTATATAATTTTATGGTTTTAACATTTTTGCCGTTATATGTAATAAAGATTTCTTTTTAACTGAGAGGTAATTTTATTATTTTTCTTAGTTGGATTTTTCCTTGAAACAATATAATTTATTTATTTATATATATATATATATTTTTTTTGTTTGTTTGTTTTTTTAATTGCGACCAACCTATTTTCAAAGAAACGATTAATCGATGATTATAATTGATAAGTACTTGAATTTAGATTCGAGTTATATTTCGTCTCTTAATAAAATATATCGTGACGATAATTGAGTCAGCCTTAAGTTCGTTTCATTGGTGTTGAACAGCGGCGCTGCAGATGTTTTGAAGAGTTACGATCGTGGTTGATACACAAGTGAGGAGACTTTCGAATGGCTTGCAAGGTCGGTGCGCGTACAGGGTGTGCCGTAACGACGCGGACAGAGAGAGAGACAGAGAATACAAGTCGTATGATCTCGCGCAAGAGAGAATCGATGGTTGCGGTCGATATACGTGTGACGTCAGATGGTAGTTCAACAGCGTGCATTTGTAGAGAGTAACTTGAAATTTGTATGAATTTTGAAAATTTTTATAGTTAGTCCTCCCTCCTTAAAACTTCCATTGTCCCCAATGATTAGTTATAGGCTTGCAGGTTGGTTCGTACGTCGTCTTCTCATGGATATAACCTTGTAGCATATGTATAAATTTTTTATTACTATTATTGCTAATAATAATAGTAGTAATTTAAAGGCTACTGAAATGTAATCCATAGTTTCAGAGATGGAACCCAGAATTGGTATATTCATCTGTGGAATGAAATTTTGTTATTAATTTTTTATATTTTGAATTTGTATTATATAGGGAATTTTGAATTTTGGTCTAGGGATTTTTGAAATTTGTTTTTGTTTTATTTTATGAATTTTAGTATTTGTTAGATACTTTTTTCTTATCATTTTGATTAATTATAGTTATGTAGTTATTTAGTGAATGTCAAAAGTAGGAATTTTTGTAATTTGTATGTATTTTTAATCGAGAATCTCGAACGATATATAGATCGATGTGTTAAAATGTTAATTGTAAAATTGCTATATTTTAATTAATTAATTATGTTATTTATTGATTAATTTAATCTTAACTTAATATTTCGATTATCTTTTCTATAATTTTTTGTATTGATTAATGTCTTTGTTAATTTCGATAAGACTATATCGAAGATTGATATATCGATGTGCGATATGATTTATAAAGGTTGTCTTGTTGTTATCTTATTAATTTATAGAAAATATAATCTATTTTATTATTTATTATTAATATTATGTTAATTATCAGTATTTTTGTGATTTTTCATTATAAAGAATTTTTTAAAATGAAGAGGAAAGAAGAAGGCGACCTCCAAATCCCCTTCCTTCTTTTTCTTTCGTCTTTCTTTTGGTAATTTTTATTTTATTTGTTTTTGTGATTACATTTTTAACCTAGTTTAATATATACATATATATATATATATATATATATATATATATATATATATATATATATATATATATATATATATATATATATATATATATATATAATGTGAATAGTATATTTTTGATAGTTATTATAGTTTTAGTTCTTATTTATTTATAATAATATGAATATAGTATTACTATTTAATTTGTACATTAGCTTAATTTTTAATTAATTTTTTCATATTATTATTTATTTAATTTTTATTTATATATATATCTATGTACATATTAGAGATTATTTGTTATATTGTATTAGAGTTATTTTGCCATTCTTTTGTCGAGAATTTTATGTTTAAAAAAAGGCTTCTGGGGAATCCCAAGAGTCTTCTTTTTCTTGTTTAGGTTCTACAGTTTCTGGTATATCCCAGTTTTCCGTTTTAATTTGGTAATTATTTGGAGTTTTAATTGGGGTTCCTGGGATTTCCCAGAATTCGTCAATGTTATTGTCATTTTGTTCTAATTTTAGGTTTAACTTTTTGTTTCTAATAGGTCCTTTGCAATGAAGTTTTGTGTGACCCCTTAGGAAGCAAAATTCGCAACAATTCGTCCATTTAAATAATTTTATTTTTAATATTGTTGGTTCTTCCTTAGACATCACAAAAGTTAATCCTTTTTCATTTGATTCTTTTTCTTGCTCGCTGAAATAGTATGTTTTGTCTAATAGTTTTAGAATTTGTCTAGCGGTATCATGTTCACCATCTTTAATTTTTCTTTCATTACGGGATCTCGTGACAAAAATATTGTCGTGAATTAAATCTGTTACAATACATTTAACATCGTATCTTCGATTATTGGGGGGGCCTGATACAGATTCAACGGAGTAAAGAGGTTTGGTTAAATTGTATTCCGCAGTGAATTCTTTAAGAATTCCTTTTGGGAATTCTAGTTGGTCGATATTTCCTTTAGGAAATACGGTTATGGCGACGAGCTCTCCTTGTAAAGGGGGTGTTTTGAGGACCATTTCTGCCATCTATAACATAAAATTGTGTTATTATACTTGTTCATAAGCAAGTTTTAATTTGTCTACATATTTTTGAAACCTTTGACCTTCATTTGTAATTAAAATTGCGGTATGTTTGTCTAAGAGATCCACAATTTCTCATGGCCCGTGATAGTAAGGTTCAAATTTGTTTTTCTTAACTTCTCTAAGGACATAAGCTTTATCTCCTACTCTTCCTAAAAAGGGCCTTACCTTTTTATCGTAGTTTTGTTTAGATTTATGTTTAGACTGTATGAGGTTTTTCGCGGCCAATGTTTTTATTTCTGTTAGTCTCGATATTAATTCTACTAAGTGAGAACCGTAGGATTCTAGTTTTTCTTCTGAGGGAACGGAAGTAGGAGTTCAGGCTGTTTTTCCGAAAATTAATTCGAAAGGAGTGAAATTTGTTGCTTCATGAACTGATGTATTATAGACGAACATGCTCTAGGGCTGGGACTCCTATTTCTAACCTCAAATTAGTATTATAATTCTTACTTTCGCTCGGCTGCTGATATCTCGATACATGATAAGCATGATTATAATTATCTGTTTGATGTTGATGTCTTGTTTCAAATTCTAATGCAATGTCTACTGCTTCTTTCAACTTTTTTTTTTTTTTTTTTTTTTTTTCGCGAGCTTCTATTAAACTAGAAATTGCGTCCGGAACACCGTTAATGAATGCATCTAAGGCACAATCGTCTAAGGGCTCTAACATGTTTTTCATTTTCTCTTCTCCGTATGAACTAAGTAATGCAGCTTTTGCTCCGGCTACTAAAAGTGTTAATCTATCGTAAAATTCGCTTATACTTTCACCTCGGGTCATACGAATCGTGGATATCTCATGAAGATACCATACATAAGATTTTTTAGGGGCATATCTTTGTTTTAAATGTTTAACTAGGTCGTCAAGGGTTTCAAAAGTTTTACCATAAGTGCTATCGCGTGCAGCACCTCTTAATTTAGATAATACCAAGTTAACATATTGTTTATCACAATTAATGGGAATAGAAGATTCTCCATTTTTTACATCTTCGAGAAAATCTCTTAAAGGCATGTTTTTACCATCATAAAGAGGAATATGCATAGTCCCTTGTTGTAGTGCAAAGCATTCCGCCATGGTGGTGACCATGAGGTCATTAGTATCAGATTCGTTATCGTCAGGCATTTTGCTTATTTGATTACCAATTTTCATAAACGTTTAATGAATTTACTTTAATAAAATTCGTTAATAATGTCGAAATTAAAAGGTATTCCCAAAATACCGGTTATATCTGTGAACCCTGTATAATTAATAGAGTGAAATTCGAGAACTGTATGATTAACGCAAATTTTAGTTTTTCCCAAGGTTTTTATTGTACCTTCTCTTAATGAAAGAGTTTTAGTATAATCAATACCAAAGTAAGAATTTAATTCCTTGTCTTTAATCAAATTTATTGGTAATGATGGGTCAATAATGAATTTCGCTTCGAATTCTTTAAAGAATCTTGATTTTAATAGAATGAGTGGGTATAGATTATTGTATCTTTCTATGAAATAGAAATATGAACTCATGAGGGGTTAGATGTGGATGACGCTTAAAGGATTAAGCCTAATAAGTGTAGTTGTTTCCGCGGTATGGGCGTCTGACTTGACGCGGCTCGAACTACTGCGAGTATACCGCGCGTGAAGTCAATAAGTGGTTAGAGTCAATGATATGCGTTTTCGCGCTATATTTGAATCTGAATATTAATTGTCAGTTTAATTATGTTTGTTAATCAAATTTTGTACAACTGGACTTTGTACAAATACTTCAAAACCGTTAAGAAGTCTATCTATTACTACTCTATTATTCCAATTTCCGTCCTGATTAATAGTTTGTCTGGCGAAGTGATCAATTTGCAGAATTTGATCAAGAAATTTTGCTCCTAATACTGCTATAACTTCCGAATTGCTTTGACTATCTATTACTCCGAATTCATAAAATTGAGGATCGTTATCTTCACTGCTTACACTTGAATTTAAACTTATGTTAAATGGGATGTTTACTATACCGAGAGTTTGAATTTCTCCGTTAAAAACTGTATGTGTAATGTTTTTGTTAATATGAACGAAAGGCTGCAATTCGGATTTTTTTATTAAATTAATTGAAACAGTAGGATCAATTATAATTTGTTTATTTTGAGATATAATGTGATGAGATGAGAATCTAGCGATTGGATAATTATAAGGCACTTCGGTATATTTATGCATGAGTTTTATCTTAGTTATTCTGATTACTATTTGCCTAAAATTATTTTACAATAATTTTATTATTTGATGTATTAAACTATTTTATTAAATATACTTAATGCTGTTGGATTTTTGGCTATTGCTTCGAGACCACTTTTAAATCTATTTATTATTATATCTTTATCCCAATTTCCGTTTTGAACAACTGTTTCGTTGACAAAATAATTAAATTGACAAAATTGATCAAGAGAACTAGCTCCTAAA